CCGATAAACAGACAGACAAACAACAACAAAATCCAAAAAAACTGGGGCCAAAATCACTGCCACCACCACAATGACGACTGGCATTTATGGCCAGGTCAGTACTTGTGGGGCTATCGCTGATTCACATGGACTTTGCTCCTGCAGGGAAACTGTCGCATCAGCCTGGCCATTTCCACGGAGGGAAACCAAGACAGAGATGTGGCCATCTGCCTGGGACAAGAAAAGGTGGGGTAGAGGTTGAACCTGGAAGAGAACCACTCAAGAACGTGACTGACTGGCCACTCTGACGTCACTTGGACACAAGGTGGCTTCCTGGGTCTGTTTCCTGGGCTGGGCACTGGAAGGGCTGGGCTGAGTGTTTGTCCCGCATTAGGGTCCAACTGGATGGGGACAGAGGCAGTTCCGGGAGAGCCTGGAGGCTTCCAGGAGGACCAGGGCCCCTTCCCAATCTGCCTCAGTCCTTGGGACCCCTCCTGGGCCAAGGTGTTGGGACAACTCTGGGCTGAACACATTCCAACGTGCGCTGGAATTGTGGGAGCTGGGACGGGGTCAGGCAGCTCCGTCTTCCCACAGGGAACTTCTTGGGGCGGCCGCCTGGGGTGGGCTAGAGAGGGGCTGCTGTGGCGCTGGGCTCACCAGTCCAGGGGTGAACAAACACTGCTACCAGGGCCTCAGTGTCCCCCTCTGGGAAATGGGGACAGACATGGCTCCTTTGGAGGATGAAGAAGAGAATGGGCGAGAGATCCCAGCGCCTCCGTTCTTGACTCCTTCCTCTGTAGAAGGCACCATGCTCAGCACTCCAATGAGCCAGCCCCGGGGCACTTGCCCCCTCTACGTCTTTCCTCCTCTCCCAGATAATCTGGCACCTCAAGGTGGGTTCCATCATTATCCCCATTTTATAGGTGAAAAAACCGAGGAACAGGAAAGTGAGGTCCTGTACCTGGTCAGTGGTAGAGACAAGATTAGAGGGGCTGCCCATCGACCCCCGGCTTTCTCACTCATTCCAGGGGTTCCCAGACCCTTCCCAGCTATGGTCCTTGAGAAGCACCCCTTTCTCCTTGAGTTTCACTTCCTAGAACCTGGGCAGAGCTGGAGCCCCACGGCCCCTGTGGGACCCAGTGCTGCTCTACGAGCACAGAGCCCTCGCCTCGTACCTTGATGTCCTCAGCATTGGCTGCCTGTAGCTTCTCCCGGAAGTGTCCATCTGTCTCTAGCACGTTGATGACCTCCTGTAGGTACCGGTGGTAGTAGAGGCCCGTGTCCTGAGGCAACAAGGTCAGACAAATCAGCCCAGTCTCTACCCTCCCTGGTTCCTCCCCACAGACAGGAACTCAGCCCCACTCTAGAGTGGCCGCTGGGCAACCCAGGGACCTGCGACACAGAGCATGAAGCGGACTTCACAGAATAAGGGCTCTGGGGCCAGCAGACCTGGGTTCCAACCCTCACCAGGTGTGTAACCACAGGCCAGCCGCGTGACCCACTGGGCCACAGTCTTCACTCTTCCCAGGTCTGAAGTGGAGATGAATGGAAGTCATTCAGATGTGTACCCAGCCCAACGGCCACCTATAGAGCGGGTGTCTACAGGGATGTGTCTTTGTTGCAAAGCAGGGAAACGTGCTATGGTTCATTCACCCACACCTTCATTCACTGATTCATTCATTCATCCACTCACTCTTCAACAAGCGCTGACAGAGCCCTACCATGGGCCAGGCACTGGTCTAGGAGGGATGGCAAGTGACAAGACAGAGATTGCTGGCCTCCTGTCTTACCCCTGAGCCTCACTCTTTCTATTTATAAAAGGGACAATATAGTCTTCCCTCAGTATGGATGGTAGATTGGGTCCAGAACCCCAATACATATCAAACTCCATAATGCTCAAGTCCCTTATGTAAAAGGACAATTTGTATATAACCTACATGTACCTTCTTGTATCCATTATTTATGTATTTATTTTGCGGTGTGGGGGGTGGAACCCAGGGGCTCATGCATAGAGGCCACTCTACCACTCTGCTACATCCTCAGCCCACATTACTGAAGTTTATAAGCCTGTATTCTATTAGCCTTGGAATAAAAAAATAAATTCTCAGCTGGGTTCAGTGGTGCACACCCATAATCCCATCTAGACTGAGGCAGGAGGATCACAAGTTTAAACCCATTCTGGGCAACTTGTCTCAAAATAAACAACAGAAAGTGTTGGAATGTAGTTCAGTGGTAGAGTAGCCCTGGGTTCAATCCTCAAAAAAAAGGTTCAATCCTTTAAAAAAGAAGAAGAAAAAGAAGAAATTCTCTACCAAAGTCCACAAGATGCCACATGATCTGACCCTTGCGCCAAGCCCCACGGGTCTCCTCCAGGCCCCTCAAAGCACTCTGCTCCCTCCCACCACACAGCCTTTGCCCAGGCTGTTCCCTCCCTCCCATTCACTTCCTTTCTTGCCCTTGATCTAGCATTCTTCCCTCCCTGCCTTCAAGTCAGCTCACCTATCCTGCCCTCCCAGATCATCACTCTATCACCTGGGGCCCTGACCTCTGTCTTCTTCTATCTCTCAGTGAGTGGGGCTGGTCCCTGAGGGCAGGGGTCTTAAATAGCTGGTTCTAGTGACCAGCACCTTCTGGCTCAGAGAAGATGCTCAAGAGAATGAACAAAGAAAAAGGGACTCAAAGGTGTCCTTCTGTGTTTGCAAAGATTTCACAGAACAGAGGCCTAACATGCTGGGCAAGGACCTGCCACGCAAGAGTGTGATATGATCCATCCCAAGATGCAATGACCTGTCCATTCTCAGGCCACAAATCAGGGTGTTGGATCTTTAAAGTTCCAACTCTCCTAAGAGCAAAGGTTTCATGCTTAGGAGAGTTCCAACTCTCCTAAGAGCAAAGGTTTCATCCTTGATAAACACCTGTTGGGATTAATAAGCAGTTTATATATGCCCTTTTTAATTTAAACTACACCTCCATGAGCTCCACAAAATAAGAAAACCCCAGCTAATTAGTATGGCATTGCTCGTGGAGCTATTGAGAAATACACTTCTTTCCCCTCAACCCCCAAATTCCTTCTTCGGTGGGGAGGATCTTAAGGTTTAAGTGGGGAGAGATGCTGACATTTTACTTAAAATCCGACTTGATTTCCATATCTCTAAGTCAGGGACCCCCAGTTTTTCACCAAGTCATGTCCCCAGGTACTGCAAAAATGGCAGGTAAATGACAAGCCACAACCGTGCGGCATGGAGTCCCGGGAGCATTCACCCAGCGGGCAGGGGTCTGAGGGGCTGTGCGCGCGGGCGCGAGGATTGTACCACCACAAACCTCTGGCCAGAGAGCAGGGCAGGGCTACTCACCGGACTCTCGGTCGCAGGGCTCTCCTTCTCGGGCACCCCCCGCTCCAGGGGCACCGCCAGCACGGCACGCAGCAGCAGCAGCAGCGGCGGCAGGAGGAAGAGGACTCCGTGGGGCCAAGTGGGAGGCATGGCGGCAGGGTCTGTGGAAAGGGAAGAGGAGCGGAGAGGTGGATAATGAATGAATGTCCCAAGCCGGCCTCTTCCCTGGATCCGGGAACGCAACCCCTGGGCGCCGCCCCCACCTCCAAGAAGCAAGAGATTCCGCTTCGTTGCGTGTGACCCAGGATACCAGGCCTCTAGTCTTCCCTTCCTCCAACACAGGAGTCCGGGTCCTCAGTCCCAGGAGTCCCGGCTGCCGGCACCCGCTCCTCTGACTCAGCTCCAGGATCTTGACCTCCGCCTCCCCCAGCCCCTCAGCCCCCCAGCCTCCTCTTTTCCCAGGATCTACAAGTACCGGCACTCGGCCCACCGACCTCCAGGACTCAGTGTTCTGGCCCAGTGGCCCACATCCTCCCCAGCAGCCCAATCTGGAACCCCAGACCCTCACCTCTCTCCACCGCAGAGGGCGTTTTCCCGGGCCAGGACCTCCGGTGCGTTTCTGGTGATTTCCCTCCTAGGTCACGCCCACTTTCCAGCAGAAAATCCGCCCTAGGAGCTTGATTGGTCCACGCTAGCTCAGGACTCCTGCGCCCTCGTCTAGAGGCCCCACCCCTTGCCGAAGCCGCTCCCCTATTCTGGAAAGTCTCAGCTCCTTTCTTACAAGCTCCGCCTCTTAACGCAATATTTCCTGCCTCGTAGGCCACCAGAGCGAAGACCTAAATAGAGAACTACAAATCCCGGCAGGGCCAGGAGGAAAAAAAGAACTATATATGAGTCTACTTCCGCGGATATCTTGGCCTCATGGGAATTGTAGTTTTCCCATTTCTGTTCGCCCACAAGGACTTGCAAATTATAGTTCAGAAGCAATTGCACAGTTCCCCTGACAAGTTTCTTACAAGTGATCTATGTAGAGCGAGACTGTGAAGCAGCCCCTTTGGGGCCCTTTAAGAAACAGCTGTATGTCGTTCCAATTCAGAATGCCTGGAGCAGGGTTGCCTGGCAGCAGAGGTGACCCTGGGTCATTGCTTTGTTGAAAGTGGAGCACGGGGGACCAGGGACTAGGAGGGCAGGAACTAAGCCAGGGCTTAGTGAGAATCCCCCTCACTCTCATCCCTTTTTCTTACCCTGCCTACTTCCCAGAGACTCAGAGATTAGATCCCCAACTCCTCAAGAGAGGGTCAGGTAGGTTTAAAGTGTGGCCACAGGGGGTGAGCACTGAGGCCTAAATGTGAACAGCTCCCCAAGCAGGAGGGAGGAGTGGGTGTCTCCAGGTTCTCAGGAAGGTGGACTCTGAGGGTCTGGGACCACTGGAGGTCAGCTGTTTGGGCCCAGAGCCTTGATGTCTGGGTGCAGGAAAGACTTAAGTATTGGGGGAGAAAGAACTGGGCTTCTGAGTTCCTGATGTTGATGAAGCTGGAATCAGACTACTGGGTCTCATTCAGTCAGGGATGCTGCAATTTGGGCTATCTAGGTCCAGGAGAGAAATTAAGGTTTTGGATTAGGTGTTGGAGGGCAGCCTCCATTGGGATGTTAGATCTGGGGCCTGACTTTGTGTCTTGCTTCTCCAGAATGTCTCGGGAGAATGACACTTGGAAAAAAGAGTGAGTGGGGACACTAAACGGGCAGTGGTGGAGTGGAGGTGAAAGCGGAAACTTAAAGCTTGATTGTGCCCCCTATACCTTCTCTCTCGCTCTCCCTCACTCTATTGCTCTCTTGCTCTCGTTCTCTCTCTCAGCTTGGCCTCATAACCATGTTTAGAGGCTCAGTACTATCGGTCTTGCAGGAAGGGGCTGGGGACTTGGACTCCTGGGTCCCAGAGGGAGGGAGCTACTGGTGAAGACTCATGGGTCTGAAATAGGAGGGACGGGAACCTGGACTCCAGAGTCCTGAGACAGCAAGGGTCTGGGATCTCTACTCCTGGATTCTAGATAGTCGGGTTCTGGGAAAAGGATCTTCAGAACTGGTGGAGCAGTGCCAGGTTCTGCACCTTCTGTGACCTCACATGTGCTCAGAACCCAAGTTGGGCAGGGCAGGATAGAAGGGAAGAGCTCTTGGGCAAGGGAGGTGCCCTGCTTGCTGTCACCACAGACCTATATTTCTCTCAGGACCCTGGGGGATGAACTTGCTGCTCTACGGCTTCAGAAGCTGGAACAGCAGGTACCAATGCCCGGGAATCTTGCCACCCCTACTCTTCCATCTTCCAAACTTCCTCAGAAGCCCCATGCCCAACACTTGCCGGGCCCAGGATCACAGTGGTCGCTCTGAATCTCAAGTTTAGAGACTTCTGGGTCCCTGATAATTTGCCCAGGCCTACAGAACCCTTTTCTCCAGGAAATGAGAAAATAAGAATTCAGGAAGCAAACCCTGTTGATGAAACTCCTCAAATTTCTAAGGACCAAGAATTCCAGAGGGCAGGATAACTTACTAGGTCTTGAGGGAGGAGGTGGTTGGATGCTAAGATTTTTGGATTCGAGGGAGGAGTTGAGGGCCTGGGCACCTGGCACCCAGTGGAGAAGGGGGTTCATGGATTCTCCCACTTGCCCCCACGCACCCCCCTCTCGTGTACCTGCAGTGGCGACTGTTTGAGAAGAAGCAACGACGGAAACGCCAGGAGCCCCTCATGGTTCAGGCCAATCCTGATGCTTCCATGCGGCACTGGCGTCTGCAGCGTCGAGAGGAGCACTTCCTGAGTGACACCGGTAAGGAAAGGCTCTAAGGGCTCGGTGGGGGAATTGGTCTAGAGGGATTTTGAGATCTGGACGAGGCTTAGTGGGGTCAAGGGGTGGGGCCTGGTAGAACCTCTGGACAAAGCTCAGGAGAGCTGAGAACTGGCCAGTGAGACTGAGTGGGCAGGGAGGGCGTGATGCACCTGCAGAGGGGGCCAAGAGAATCGGGTGATTGGGCTTGGCAGAGCCTGGGAAGAGCTCAGGGCGCGGGGTGGGGTGGTGCTCTGAGTGCCAGGCTTAGTCTGGAGAGTATGGAGGGCTTCCAGGCTTGTGTTATTTATTTATTTATTTAGCAGTACTGCAGAATGAACCCAGGGTTTCGCCCTTGTCAGGTACGCACTGTGCCACTGAACTACCTCCACCAGAGATTTGGGTAGAGAGGAAGAGAAACTAACTGTAAGGGCCCGGCATAGGATTGTTTAGGCACGGAGTCCATGAAAATAAGTAGCCTAGCTGTGCTTTTGCTTGAGCCTTGGGATGAAGTTAGAGTTCTCACGCCCTCTTCAGGGTTTGGGTGATCAGTGAATGGCCTGATGTCTAGGGAGACCAGTTAGGATGTAAATCTTCACTAAGGATCGGAATTTGTAGATCATTTTAATGGGCCTCCCTGCACCTTCTCCCAGGCATTGGGAACCCTTTTCTCCAAGAGAATGTGCCAGAGGCCCATCTGCGTTTGGGTGCCCACAGTGCCCCAGTTACCATGAACTGTGGTGGAGATGGCATCGGCGAGCACAGGCCCCTGGTGTCACTGACAGAAGCAGGTATCCTCAAGTGCTCAGACCACCTCTACTCCAGAACTCTGCTCTCTGACGAACCCAGGAGGCGGAGACCCCAAGCCTCGCTCTTCAGGATCTCAACCCCCACCTCCCTCACACCCAGGAATTCAGGTCCTAAACCTCCTCCTTCATCACCCAAGGATCCATCCCCAGCTCTTCCTTCCCCCCAAATATATTCAGAAATCCTGCTCTCCAGTCTTCCTTCCTCCTTGTCTTTGTTCCCAGACAGTTCCGATCCAGAGCTGGAGGAAGTCTTCGTGGAAGATTTTCCTGAATCCCTTCCATCCTATAGAGAAAGGCTTCTGGGAACTTGTCGCAGGGGTTGGCTAGCCCCACGACGGCCTGGTAATTTTAAGGATATGTTTGTAAAGTCTGGCTTTCAGGTCCATGGGGCAAATCATCCCCTTCATTTGATAACATTTTTAATGAATAATGATGTAATTCACTTATGTCAAGTTTACCATTCCATGGGTTTTAGTATATTCAGAGTTGTGCAACCATCACTACAATTTTGGAACATATTCATGACCCCAAAACAAAACCCTATACCCCTTAGCAGTCACTCTTCTTTTATTTCCCCTAAGACAATCCCTAATCTACCTTTTTTTTTTTTTTTTAGTGCTGGGGATTGAACCCAGGGCCTTGTGCATGGGAGGCAAGCACTCTGCCAACTGAGCTATATCCTCAGCCCCCTAATCTACCTTCTATCTCTTTAGATTTGCTTATTCTGGAGGTTTTTAATGAATAGAATAATATAATATATGGTCTTTTGTGTCTGGTTTCTTTAACTTAGCAAGTTTTTAAGTGTCATCCATGCTGTAGTCCATTGTCAGACTTTTAATCCTTTTATTCTAATGGCAGCCAACAATTTCATTGACAGGATTTTCAATTAGCATCCCAACCTCTCCACTCCATCTTTTTTTTCTTTGCATCAGGGATTGATCCCAGTGGTGCTTTTCCACTGAGCCACATCCTCAGCCCTTTTTAATACTTTATTTGAAGACAGGGTCTTGCTGAGTTGCTTAGAGCCTTGCTAAATTGCTGAGGCTGATTTTGAACTCTCATGATCCTCCTGCCTCAGCCTCCTTCGCCACCAGGATTACAGGCGTATTCCACGATGCCCAGGTCTCCACCCCATTTTAATTCCTCCATCTCTCTGATGCTGTCTTTGATACAAGGGAAAGAGAGAACTCTGAGGTTGGGAGTGAAGCTCAGTGGTAGAGCCCTCATCTAGCATGCACAAGGCCCTAGGTTCCATTCCCAGCATTGGAGAGAAAGAGAACTCGAATTCATCCTTGTCTTTGGGACCAGGACAGTCAGACACTCCTCAGCCTTTGTAAATCCCCAGGTACATAGAGAAGGAAGAGGATGTGAGGGAGAAGGGTAGAGGCGGAGTGAGAAACCTGGAGTTCTGGCCTTAGCTAGCTAGCACTGATGACCTTGTCCCAAACTCCAGGACCCAGTCTTCCTGAGCTCAGTCTCTGACTTCTTCTACCACTTAGGGGCCAGTTCAGAAGACCAGAATGAACTCCAGGATGTCCAAGATGAATATGGGGCACCCAATCTGGCACAAACCCCTGGAATGGATAGTGACGGGGGACATGGAGGCTTGGCATTCTTCAAGGTGTGAGGAGGCGCAGCCATTAAGGATTTAGGAAGAGGTGGGGGATAGCCATCTGGGTAGGGTGGGGATAAAGTTCTGCTGTCCAATCAAAGCCCTTTTCCTCCCCTTTCCCTTGTGGACAGAACTATCCACAAGGCTGTTGTGATCAAGTTAGTGGAGGTGCTTTGTGTGTGCTAGAGAATTCTAGAGGATTTAAGTCAAACTGGATGATTTGACTTGATGTGGGCATGACTGTTAAAATGGAGCACCTGCAGATGGGCAGGTGGAGGGGGTGGGCAGCTTTTGCCTGTAATCTCAGCTACTCCAGAGGCTGCCAGCTTGGGCAACTTAGTGAGACCCTGTCGCAAAATACAAAAAAATACAAAGGGCTCAGGATGTAGCTGAGATAGCGGAACAGTGATACACAAGGGCCAGTAGCACCACTTTGGGTGGTGCAAATGCAGAAGATGCTTTCACTTGGTTAGATCCTGCCCATATTATGTGTCTAGATAAGTATGGGTTTCAGCTGAATGGGCAGTGCTATCAAAAGGATTATTTTTTAAATTTTATTTTATTTATTTATTTATATGTGGTGCTGCTAGTGCCTCACATGTGCTAGGCAAGCGGTCTACCACTGAGCTACATCCCAACCCTTCAAAAGGATTCTCCAATCAGAATCAGTAGATGGATGGGCGTGGTAATGGGAAAAGCTAATAGAGTTAGCCAATCAACAGATGTTTAGGGTTTGGCTGGGTGGGCTGGCTGAGATGCTTGACCAATAAGCAGAAGTCATGAGCTGGAGAGGGCGTAACCTCGAGCTGGACAGCCAATCAGCTCTTTGTCAAGGCTGGGCTCGGCTCTCCCTCGATTTTGAATTTGGCTCGTGAGCTAGGGAGAAGACCTGGAAGAAAAGCAAAAGGAGTTGGAGTCTGCAGGGGCGAGCTCCGCAGCTGCCGCCAAGGAGGAGTCCGCGGTCCCGGAAAGCGTGGGCTGTACAGCCAGCTGCTTCGTGGAGGGCGGGGCTGGCTTGCTACCCCGTACCCCAGGCCCTCCTGGCCTTCTGCTGGGAGAAGACTTGGAGACCTACGTCCTGCGGCCAGCGCAGCGGGGCCACATGGTGCAATGTTGCATCAGCCGGGACAAGCATGGCGTAGACAAGGGCTTGTTCCCCATCTACTTCCTCTACCTGGAGGTAGAGGACGGCCGGAAGGTGCGGTCCACCCCTTGGGGGGCCCTTTTGCCCCACAGGCAGGGTAGAAAGCCCTGCCTCCCATGGGCAAGTCCCCTCCTTTCTGAGCAAGGTCAGGTCATCAGAAAGAAAGGACATGTCAACTCCCACCAAGCCCTGGCCTCCCAGCACCAAAATCCTTTCCTTACGGCGCACAGTAACATAGAAGCTACCAATCCTATAACCAAGTCAGGCAGGCCCACTCCAGAGTTGGGCCTGCTTTTTCAAAATCAAACCATACTTTCTCAGGATCCGAAGCCCCGCCCATTTCACCCCTCTGGCGGTTTATTGGTCCCTTTTTTGGGTTTACCCAATCCTGGGATAAACCTTCCCCTTCATAGATTTCCCATTCTAGAGCCAAGACAGGCTCCTTTCAATCTAGTCAGTCCCATCCAGTGTGGCCTCTTTTCCTTTGGCTACAATTTTTCTCCCAGAATGAGCCTTTTTCCTTTCATAGAGCCAAACCTGCTTTTCCTGGACGAAATGTCTTCCAGAGTCCTGTTCCAAGAGTCCTTCCCTATTCTCCAAAGCCAAGCCCTGCCTGAGCTCAGCCTCAGCCCAGTATCCACTGGCAAAGGAAAAGGAGGAGATATTAAGATGTAAAGCCCCCTCTTCAGGACCTAGCTGATCAGTTTATTTCAATGAGAATCCCTCCCAGCAAGCTCTGGGACACTTACTGCACCATTACTCTCTCCTCTGCAATGAGACATGGCATTTCCTTGTCTTTGGACTCCTCTGTCTCTAGCCAGACACCAGAAATCCATTCTGATGGGTTCTCCTTTCATCCACAGCACTTCCTCCTGGCTGGGCGAAAAAGAAAAAGGAGCAAAACTTCTAATTATCTAATTTCCCTGGACCCCGAAGATCTGTCTCGGGATGGGGACAGCTTTGTTGGCAAAGTCAGGTGGGCAGAGCCCAAATGTATTGTGAAAACAAGGTGGTACAGAGCCTGGGAAAGGAAGGGGCCTACACTTCCCAATAGGCCTTAGGGCACAAGTTCCACCTGCTTTAGGGCATGATGGGTTTATAGATTGGATTTTGTGTGTGTGTGTGTGTTTGTGTGTGTGTTTGTGTGTCATTTTTGTTTCTGTTGGTCCTGGGGGTTGAACCCAGGGGTACTTTACTACTGAACTACATCCCTAGTCCCCCTTTAGTTGTTGATGAGCCTTTATTTTATTCACTTATTTATATGTGGTGCTGAGAATCGAACACAGTGCCTCACACATGCAAGGCAAGTGCTCTACCACTGAGCCACAACGCTAGCCCCTCCCAGTCCCTTTTATTTTTATTGTTTTATTTTATTCTTGGTACGAGGGATTAAAACCAGGGTTGCTTAACTACTGAGTTACATCCCCAAACTTTTTATTGTTTTGAGACAGGGTCTTTGTTAAGTTGCTTAAGGCCTTGCTAAGTTGTTGCTTGCAAACCTCCTGCCTCAGCCTCCCCAGTCAGTAGATTACAGGCATGCTCCACCACACTTAACTGAGTTTTGTAGTTCTACAGGTTGTATATCCAGGGGTTTTGGAAAAGAAAAGCAAAAGGTTTTGAATAGTATGATGCACAGGCTAGTATTTAAGACAAATTCCTTCTTGAGAGGCCAGGGCTGGGACCCCTAAGTTTCTATGGGTGAAGAGATCTAGAATGTGATTTTGTATACCAGAGGGAAAAGGGTCCCTTCTTTTTTCAGTAGTGGAGATTGAACCCAGGGATGCTTTGCTGCATGCCCAGCCCTTTTTATTTTTTTTATTTTGAGACAGAATCTCACTAAGTTGCTCAGGCTGGCCTCAAATTAGTGATCCTCCTGCTTTAGGCTTCCAAGTCACTAGGAAACAGTCATGCACCATTGCACCCAGCAGGGAAGAGGGTTCCTCTAAAGGGCCAAAGCAGGAGGCTAAACACACGACTCACCAAAGGAAGAGAGGGCTAGGATCATGGATACAGGGAACATGATTCTTACCTAGAGGACTGATTTGGGAAAGCACTTACAGCCAAAGAGTAACAATTTTTTTTTACTTTTATTCTGCCAACTGCCCTTTGGGAGCAGATCTAATACATTGGGCACCAAGTTCATCATCTTTGACAATGGGACAAGTCCCGACCGGAAGCATTTGGTACCAGACACTGACCGGCTCAGAGAGGAGCTGGGAGTTGTATATTATGTGAGTGTATATTTTCCTCCTGGAGAGGAATGAAGAGAGGGAAAGAGGGGAGGGGAGGAGACAGAGAATGAATTAATAAGGGGCGGGACAAGAGGGATGGGAAGAAGAAGCCAGGCTAACTGGAATGTAATACTCCCAGGAGACTAATGTTTTGGGATTCCGGGGGCCTCGGAAAATGACTGTGATCATCCCAGGAACCGACAGCCAGGGCCAAAGAATCAGCATCCAGCCACAAAAAGTGAGTCTTCAATGTCGGGAATCTTGGGCCAGAGCCCTTTTCCAAGAGTCCTTCCCTATTCTCTGGGGGGCCATCCTTGCAGGTCACTCGAAGCTCTGGAGGACTTTGCCAGACACCTGTCTCAAGGAGTAAAGACTAGAGATTCAAGAATTCTGGGTCGGGAAGAAAAAAGGTGGCTGGTGGTAAGTTAACAAACCATGCCCCCCTACTTTTCCTTCAAGGAACAAGAGTCGCTAATGAATCGCCTCCAACGGGGGTCCGGCCAGGGGCTGGTCCTGCTGCAAAACAAAGCCCCATCCTGGAGCGATGAGAGCGGCGCCTACGTGCTCAATTTCCACGGTCGAGTCACCCGGGCTTCTGTCAAGAACTTCCAGATCGTGCACCCTGAAGACCGTGAGCTCCTGGGAAGGGCTTACCTGGGCCAGAGAGCATGGGAACTACTACTCCCATCAGCACTTGAGCGCCTTTTCGGCGGGGCTGACTCCTTGCCATTGCAAGGCCTATTGGGAACTGTAGTTTACAAGCCCTCGGAGGGTTTTCCCGTTTAATAAGAACGCTGTACAGCTTCTTTAGGAGTCGTGATTCCTGAAGCTCTGAGGCTGGGACATGAGGAGGGGGGTCTGGTTAAGGCTGAGTTTTTGACTTTCTCCTTAGCGGACTACCTGGTTCTTCAATTTGGCCGCGTGGCCCCAGATATGTTCACTATGGACTTCCGGTTCCCGCTTTGTCCGCTCCAAGCCTTCGCTATCTGCTTGTCCAGTTTCGATGGGAAGCTGGCATGTGAGTAACTCAATAAAATACCATCCCTTCACAATCCTTCTGTGCCTGTGAGTTTAGAGAAAGCATCCCAACATGCCTCCTCCTGCTTGTGTATGTGTGTGTGTGTGCGGGGTGGGGATTGAACCCAGAGCTGCTTTACCACTGAGCTACATCCCCAGTCCTTTTTATTTTTTATTTTGAGACATGGCCTTGCTAAGTTACTGAGGCTGCCTTTGAACCTGATCCTCCGGCTTCAGCCCCCTGTGTAGCTGGGATTACAGGCGTGAGCCACCACACCCAGCACCAATACTTAGTATGCCTGCCTGTTCCGTCCTGTGCTCTAGGGAGTGGGCTGTGTAGTAGCACCTATTCCTGCCAGGTTCACAGTCATCATGAGAGAAGGACCGTAACCAAAAAAAGCAAAAGTTCAGAAAAGCTTATACAGCCGCAATCTGTTAGTTCAGAGCAGGGCAACTCTAAAAAAGTGCCACTCATACTACATGTGCAGAATCAGGATAAACTAGATAAGGGGCCTGGTGGGAACATTAGGCAGCAGGCAGAGCTCCCCAAAGGCCTTGAAGGTGGACGTGGGGGACTGAAAGCTTTAATTTGGCAAGAACCCTAGGGATCCAGTAGACAGGGGGAAGGTAGGAGGCTGGACCTTTGGTCCACCCTTGTTTTAACTGGACAGATCCTGTGAGCTCAGAGAAGGGTTCTAAGCTGTTGATGTAAACTTGTTTGGGTAATTAAAAACATGAGTAACTTTAACAACTGTGAAGGTTCCTACAATCCCATACGACATGTAAAATCCCATAAAGTGTATAAAATTGTTAGATATGTTGTAGATAAGAAAACTGAGTCTTCTCACACAGGGCTTATAAATATGAAATCAGGCAATGGAAAGTTTTGAGGAACACAGTTGGAGAATGTCAAGGCCATAGAGAATTAATTGGACCTTAACACAACAGGGAGGCACAGATAACTGAAGCTTAACTTTTTCTTCTTTGGGATTGGTGAGTCAAGCCTCCAGCTCTCTTGGGGAGATGACTGCCCAAGTTTAAATAAATTTAGGCAGTTGCCAAAGAAAATCTACAAAACCCACCAGTCCTTCATACTTATCCTTCCAAATCGGGCACCCAGGAGGATACTGTCAGTACACACACAGAGACATTGCTCACTACAAATCAAAAAGCTTTATTCCTTAAATAAATCAACACTTTAAAAAAAGTTAATAAATAACATGCAACCATTTGGTGTTAGCCACGCCTCCCATTGAGATTCAGGCTAAGAGCTGGTGCTTCCAAAGAAGGGGTATGAGGGGGTGTGGCCATAGCCTGACTCAAGGGCGTGGCCTGAGCTGGAGCCTCGGAGGCGATCAAGGGGAAAGATAAGGTCTGGGTAGAGGCAGGTATGGGGGTAAGAGAACTGGGTGCATTCCCAAGGCGTGCCCAGGCTCTTGCCCGGGAGGCAGGGGTAAGGCAGGGACCTAGCTTTTCCTGGACCTGGGCGATGCGGCGGGCAAAGCGACTCCGATCCCGAGCGAACTGTTCCCAGGGGCCCCGGCGGGCAGCCTGGGCCGGGCCTGCCCAGACAGCCAGAAAATGCACGGTGACCTTCTCAGAGAAGCGCACCTGAGGACAGAGAGACAAAGATACATGGAGACACAAGGTTCCAAACAGAATCAAGGAAAAATCAGCTACACAAAAATGCTTGCTATTTGCCTAGTCACCTGCCTGTCAGACTTCCAAATGACTCACTGGAGAAAGATGGCTTTCTGGGGCTGCCTCCTCCTCCCACTGGGGCCCCAGCCTCTTACAGAGGATTGCAAGATGAAGTGCATAGTCCTCCCAGAAGAGTTCCTATGCAATCTGCTGCAATGTACTTGGGACCCAGGAGTCCTAGCCTCCAGCCCTTCCCCACTAGACAAGAGTTCCAGCTCCTAGCCCTCTCCTCCCTCCCAAATAAAAAAAGATCTGGGCCCTCAGCACCCACCTTTCTGGATTTTGGGGGAGTTTCAGGGTCTGGATCCTGGGTGAGGGTCTGTGACAACCTGAGTCGTCTTTGTAGTCTGAGGGGCAGCTTAGGAGCAGTCCAGGGAGGTGGTGGTTTCTCTCCAGGTAAGTAGAAGGCCACTCTGAAGGGGCTGGTCTCGGAGTCTCCCCATTCCTCCTCAGCTTCCCCTTCCTCTGTCTCCTTTCCAGGTTGATATAGCCAGCCCCTGAGGTGGGCACTCTGGGCCTGAAGGGAGGGGTGCTGGCCCCAGGCAGCTGCTCCACAGTCCTCTCCTTTGTCCTCATTCTGCTCACACTCATCTTCCTCCTCAGTGTCCTCCCCAGGACGATACACCCAGGCCTTCAGGAGGGCACTTGTAGCAGGGGTGGGAGAGGAAGTCTCAGCTTCTCCTTCCTCCTCAGTTGATTCCCAGTCACTGTCCTCATCTTCCTCCTCAGTGTCCTCCCCAGGACGATACACCCAGGCCTTCAGGAGGGCACTGGTAGCGGGGGTGGGAGAGGAAGCCTCAGCGTCTTCCTCCTCCTCAGTTGATTCCCAGTCACTGTCCTCATCTTCCTCTGTGTCCTCTCCAGGATGATACACCCAGGCTTTCCAGAAGGCACTTGTAGGGAGGGTGGGAGAGGAAGCCTCAGTTTCTCCTTCCTCCTCAGCTGATCCTGAATCACTCTTCTCCTCTTCCTCCACATTCTCCCCTGGCTGACACACCCAGGCCCTCCCGGAGGCACTTGTAGAGGAAATGGAAGAAGGACCCTTAGCTCCTCCCTTCTCAGTTGCCCCTAAAGCACTGTCATCCTCCTCTTCCTTTCCGTTCTTACTCCGTTGATTCTCCAAAGCCCCAAGCAGGTGCCTCTGGGCTGGAAGCGAGGACCATGGCTCTGGGTCAGCTTCTTTCCCAGGGGCTTCACAGGCCTTCCTGCCCTTCTCCCTAGGCCTCTCGCCTGGACAATATCCCCAAGCCCTGGAGCTGGAGCCTGCCAATGAGGGGGAAACAGAGGTCTTCCTGGCTTCGTTTTCTGTTCCTTTTTCCTCCGTGGCTTGATCCTCTTCCTCCTCTGGGCAATACACACAAGTGCCAAGTTGGGATCCTGAAGACTCAGGGAAAGTGGAGGCAGTAGGAGCTTCTTTCTTGACATCGCTCCACTCCCAGTGTGATGAAGGATAAGAGAACTTGGTCACTCCCTCTTCTTCAGCTTTCTCCTCCCCAGGACTCTTATCAGAACCTTGCAGGGCTCTTATCTGCAGGCTGGGGGACAGCGGCTGGCCATCTGTAATTTCCCTTCCCTGCTCTCTGGGGACACTGTTTGCATCTTTCTCACTATTTTCTTTACTGCCTAAAAGTCCCCAAGCTTCAGGAGGGGAATTACTGGGCTTCAGATCAAGGCAGGACTCCAGGTCTGCTTCTCCATTCTCTTGAGGTACTCCACTGTCTTCAGCTTCCCCTTGAGGATGCCTGGCCCAGGGACCATGGGAGATGGCCAAAGAAGCCTTCACTTCTCCCTGCAGGCCACCTTCTACCAGATTTTCTCCTGTTACTGCTTCTACCAGCCAGGGCTCTGAAGGTCCTGGGCCTCTCAGCCGGCTCCAGGCCCGGCTGAGGAAGCCCATCAGTGGGGACAGGAGGTAGGAGTAGTGGGCTTCCCTCCAGGGTGTGCTGTGATGGGGTACTTGGCCTGGAGCCATCTGTCCCAGATGAAAAAGGGGGAGAAGAAAAGGAAATAAGATTTAGAGGCCATTTAGGAAATGCATCAGGGCATGACCCTGAGTCATAGCAATGAAATAGCAACACAAATGAATAACAACATGAGAATCCCGGCCCCGGATTCCTTTCTCATCCCAGCTACACCCATCTCTGTTCCTTGCTTCCCTTCTTGACACCCAGCAGTCTGGGTCCCCAGATCTCCTTCATTAGATCCAAGGGTCCAAACCCCATTTCAGACCCAGAAGTCCCAGTCCCAAGAACAAAGAGCTTTTTACGAGCTTCCCTTGGGGACAAAGTCAGTCTCCAGTTCTCTTACTCTCCTGAGGATTGATAAATCACCTTCATCCCTTGGAGTCTCAGAATATTCTGAACCAGACTGGGGTTGGGGCTCAAGTGGTAGAGCACCTGCCTAGCATGCTGATCCTTAGCACCACATAAAAATAAAATAAAGATATTGTGTCCATCTAAAACTAAAAAATAAAATTTGAAAAAATATTCTGATCCTCAGATTATTCCTTCACTGGGGACTCAAGAATCTGACTCCTGCACCCCTTCTCCCTCAAGCTTAGAGGACTCCGGGCTCCTAACCCCTACCCCTGCCTAAATTCGGGCCTCCAGTCCACTCCTCCAGACCCGGGAGTCGGTTCCCCATCTGGACCCTCACCAGACTCATGAGACCAGGCTGCCAGGCCCTCCCTCCATACGACGCTGGAGTCCAGGCCCCGAACCCTCCAGTCTCGGAACCAAAGGTCCATGGCTTTCCTCATTATTGGGGCCCCAGGCATTCCGATCCCTTACCGGCTAGGAGCGTCAGTGTCACCCAGGAGGCAGGAGCGCTGGCTCGGGCTGCCAGAAGCGATCGCAGGTT